TAGAGTAATTAAGAAGAAATAAAAGGGGGAGAGAGAAAAAGAATAATATAGAAAAAGAATATTATAAATAAATAACAAAAATTAACTTTATTAAGTATTATTTACTATTTTTAAAATAAACGAACTATATTAGCAAAAACTTTGTAATATCTACTATAATATTATGAAAAAACTATTAGAAATCCAAAATATTTATTTTCGTATTAAAAAAAAGAACTTTTTGAAATCCTTGCATTTTTGCCATATATCCTATAGGGATGGGATGTATAGATATTCATTTTAGGGGGAGAGGGTGTTATGACTCATAAAACAAATAATGCTTATAAGTAAGATATAAAATGGCACAATAACTTATAAAATATGTTTACAAAGTTTTATCAAGGAATGATAAATATGTACACGCAGTGATAAGATGATAATTACAATCTTTCTACATATATTACAAGTATTATTGTATGAAGTACATATTTCATGATGTGTTTAGTGTACTGAATCTAATCTGAGCACTTTATATGCTTTGGACATAAATCCCGTTCGCTAAAAATGCATATATCCCAAACAGATGGGATATACAAGACAACAAACTAAACAAAGAATACAAGAGCAAAGCACTTGTATTTCGCTATACAACATGCTTTACTATTCCTCTACACTTATATAGAAATAATCACTAATGCTGAGTTGTTCCACCTTTCGGTAAACTTTAGTTCATTGTCTTACTCTCTTACTCTCTTATGAGTTACATTCTTACTTTTTTATTCTTTTGTTTATCTAATAAGTAAATTACCGCATAGTTTATCTAAAGATGGAACAATCGACTCTAAATCTTTTATGTGTCCTATAGTAATCATTTTATGTAGATTATAATTTATGATGATTTATAATGATTATATTTATTACAGTGACAAATCGATTCAACTCACAATAATTTCATTAATATTGACAGTAAGAAACTGAAATCATAATACAATACTAATATAATAAAACATGTAATATAAGAGAGAATAGTTGCGGGAAAAAATTATCCCCAGTTCTTCTATTTATTCTAACTTCTGCGACGTAAATAATCTCAGCGCGGCGTATTTGTTGAAATTATCCTAAACAATTCATATTGTATGTCGTTTTAGGCGTAAAATTTCTTAACGTACTTGTGTCAAAATGTATAATATTTGTATTTGCGTTTATCAAACATTAATTGCTATATCCAATCAATTCCTATAAATTATTATTTAATATAAATTAGATTAATGATTGACGAGCATTAGAGCTCGTATATAGAAGATTAATTGAAAGTAATCTTACAAAGACAATTTCTCGTTACTGGCAAACAACAAGAATAGAAACCACAACATACAAGATTTTCAGATTCAATATGATAGAAGTCATCAGACAGTCAGTATTCAATGAGATACAGTGATAGTTTCTCGAAAAAACGATTTAAGACACGATAGGAAATTTATAAGAATTACTGTAAGAAATTTAGAGAAAATAGGCACAACTGAGAAGCTATCACTGCGTGACTTGGAGACTTGATGGAAGTCTAGTATTATGGAGGAAAGCCTCAGTTTGAATCCTGGAACACCCTAATATTTTTCTCATCGCTTATTTCTTACAATATTTGCACGAATCTAGATTTTCTGAAATAACATGATAACAGTCGTTGGACAATCAATATTCAATCAAGATACAGTATTATATTGTTGAAAAAACGAGTTAAACACTATAGGATATTTACAAAATGAATTAGGATTTCCTTATTCAACATGTAGTAGTCAAGATAGGAGTAGTCAGATAAAAGATTCTATATATCTGATTTGTACAATCACAGACATGAAAAATTTGAACCAAATCCCTTATTTATTATAATATGATAAATACTGATATAAATAAATAACTTTTTATTAATATAAATACATCTAGCTGGGAAGGAGTAAATAAATATTGTATTAAAACAGGCGGTTTTAAAACGAATCTCGCATTGGAATATATATTAATATTTAAACAATGTGATATTCAACCTGATACGAAATGTATAACTAAAATTCAGGATCTATTTTCATTAACCACGAATACTTCTTTTATTACATACTGTGATGAAGTCATTACATTCTGTATCTGGATTTCACGATGAATATAAAAAACTGAAACCAATATTCAATTTAATAAAAAGTTTTCTTATCAGATTCTATTAATTTTCTTGAGCAGGGAGAGGTAAAGCAGCGCTAGATGGTATAGCTTATGATGAATGATCGCTTAGAAACATCATTTCCCCATTTCAGGAGGAAACGTTTTTCAATTTTAATTCTCTTGTAAATTCTGAATTATGGTGCTAATAAATAATACTTATTTTAGCAATAAAATAAGTATTATTACTATGGATTTATTAATTATATATATAAAGTACAGCATACGTTGCATAAATGTATTATATATAAAGTATATATATTTTCTTACTATATATTACCATCTATAATGTACATACACTCACATACACGCACACAATTAAAGAATAAAATTTTATAATTACATTATATAAATCAAACAATTACAATATTACGAATTAAGATAACAGGAATGTAATGAAAATGTATAATAAGTAAGAAAATATATGTACTTTTATATTTACATACATTCATATACGAGTATATATACAATTATAAGTATAGCATATCCAAATGCAATTCAAACTTCGAGAAGAATAGATAAAAAAATGTTCAACATCCACCATTGCAATCAAGACCTAAATTTTCTTTTCCACTTACGTATATTACTCACATGTATAATATAGAAAAACCCAAAAGTAAAACAAGTTATTAAAAAATGTCATTTAAATTCATTTTTGAAGCCGTGGGGATTTTAAATCTATTTTTCTAACAAATATCAAATTTTCCGAGCGAATGGCACACATTTTAATTAGAAATAAAAGGTAGAATACTATAACTAGCCGTCGCTTTTTCAAAATGGACATTTAGATAACTAATTCCCTTGTAAATAAAAAAATTTTGTTTTACAATTTTCGCAATAGTTAATGAGATATTAATATCTAAAAGTCGATAAATAACACTGGCTACCGCCAATATAAGCGCGACGTACAATAGAGTCTCTCTAAATTTGATTTCTGTAATTTTTGCATTCCTTATACATATTAATTTTACATACACTAATGTCCTGCCTCTTTCATGTCATGATAGGCTGAACATGTGTTGCATGCTAATTATACTAGATTCTCACAGTGTATTCCATAGGTTATGTATAACTATTTGTGTAAGATATTCTTTTGTAATACATAATATGTGATATATATGACTTGTTTTGCTAAAGTTTTGTACTACACTATAGACACTTTACAGATAGTGTGCGCAACTGTGTTCACGCAAGTAAGGGAAAGTGGAGGAACTGTGCGCACCTAAGGGAAATTTATTTCTTGGAATTCCAAGTTTAAAACGATATAAGTATGGAAATAGAAACTATAAATATTCTTCTACCATTACATCCTTATATCGAACAGATTTTCATTCAATAAAATTGTATTTAAGAAATTAAAAAGAAAAAAATAAAGTAAAGTTAAGTAAAAATAAGTTAAAAGGAAAAACAAAAAAATTTCTGTCGGGTAATTGTGTGCATGTGTTGAATAATTGTGCACAAAAGTTGTAAGAAATGAATGAATTGTGGAATATTGATAAAAAAATCAGAAAATATATTCATTATATTGCAATATAAATATATATTAAATATATTTTAAATATATATTGTATATATTAAGAAAAAATACAAAACTAATATAATAATAATGCACATAGA